TGGGCCAGAGCTGACCCTCGCAGGGGGGCACCCATCGCTGCGGGGGGGGCACCCATCGCTGCGGGGGCCGGGCTGGCAGCATCCCCCCGTGGGAGAGGGCATGCGGCACCGTAAAGCAGGACCGTGTTATGCCAGGGCTGTGGGAGGAACTGGGTTTCCCCAGCACGACTGCCGAAGCCTGCGCGTGGCAGTGGTTTGGGTGACTTAGGTCTGGACACTGGATGCGAGAGCCCTTGGCAACGCCCTCCCCGCCCGCCAGCTACCCACCCTGCCCCGTGGGGCCTGGCACTGGAGACCCCAGTGCAAGGCAGAGGCTGACCTGAGTTGAGCAGCTCAGTGGTGGGAGGAACTGGGTTTCCCCAGCACGACTGCCGAAGCCTGCGCGTGGCAGTGGTTTGGGTGACTTAGGTCTGGACACTGGATGCGAGAGCCCTTGGCAACGCCCTCCCCGCCCGCCAGCTACCCACCCTGCCCCGTGGGGCCTGGCACTGGAGACCCCAGTGCAAGGCAGAGGCTGACCTGAGTTGAGCAGCTCAGTGGTGTTGTCGCTCTTGAAAGGCGTCTCCTCTGTGGGGAAGACCATTTCCCCCTCTGCTCCTGGATAGGGGGAAAAAAAAAATCAACCAGGCAGGCTGAAGACCAGGAGGAACGGTGGGCTTTCTCCTCTGTAAGGGCACCAGCCACCATCCATCTTCCACCCCCTCTCCCACCACTGCCTTGGCGACATGGCCCTGTGCCTGGGAGAACGGGCCAGCAGCAAGACACGCAGGGCAGACCTGCCCAAACTGTGGGTTATGCAAATCCCAGTGGATGGAGCCAGCTCTCCGCATGCCTCGAGGGAGGGGATTTCAAGCTCCCAGTGTGAGAGAGCTGCACGGAGTCGCACACCAAGCTGGACTCCAGCTCTACCACCCCTGGGCACCACGTAACTGCCTGGGGGAGCCATGAAGCCCCATCAGAGCTTCTTCGTGGAAACAAACCCCTGCGGCCATTAGCCCAGATCACATCAACCATAACTCGTTCTTGAAGCAATGCCCAGGCCGCTGAGGCGGGCAACCAGCCCACATCGGGGTCAGACAGTGCCCAAGCACTGGTATGGCTGAGGGCTCACCAGGGCAGCGCGACAGGTCGCAGGTCCTTGACTCCGTCGCGGTGCAGGCATAGCCACAGGACCGGGTCCTCTTCTGGTTGCCACTGCCACAGGTGATGCTGCAAGGCGACCACGGGCTCCACTCCTCCTCATCTTCATAGTCTGTGCTTGGCAGGGGAGAGGCAGAGAGTGGTGGACCTCAGCAAAGCCCCAGCAGAAGGGGACCCATCAGCCACCTGGGCCCTCCCCCAGCTCTGCCCTGTCCCTGGGATGTCCTTTACAGGGACACAGGGCCAGCGCTGCCCATGGCACTCGGAGGTGCCTGGCCACGTGATGCCAAGGGCCAAGCCTGTCCTCACTGGCAATCCCAGGGAAGCAGCCCCCGAGCAAAGGCTCTCATTCTCATAGCTTTGCTCACCAGTCAGATGTCACTGCCCATCCTCACGGAACCCGCCCAATGCACTGGCCATGATGCTGAAGCATCACGTGTTAGCAAAGGCCGACTGGCTTTGGGCTTGTGGCCAGGAAGCCGCAGGAGGGAGCTGCTGTGGTGCCCTGGCCTGTCCACCCACCGGCACCTGCCATCTAGCCCTCTGCAGCTCCTCTCCTGGGGGGTGCCCAGGTCCTTGGCAAAGGCTTGTGGCACTGGTGTCACCACAGCTACCCAAGTTGATGGCAGCAGCAGCACATGCCATTAAACATTTCCACTGTATTTCTCATCTGAGCATGCCTTCGCTAGCGTCCATGCTCCAGTCTGATTACAGGCAAAGGCAATTCCCGCTGGGATGCTGGCACGTCTGACCAGTGGCAGCCCCAGCTGGGCGCTGGCCTTGCTCCTCAGCATGCTTGCTTATTTTTTAAGTAGGAGCTGAGCACCGGTGTGCTGTGATCCCCGGTGCAGGGCTGCTCCCCCTGGAGTGAGACAAGGCTGCAGGCCAGGTAGGGCACAGGAGGGCAGTGCTGGTCTGCCAGGCAGCTGCGCGCACCCAGAAGGACTCACCATAATTATATTTTTCTTTAAAGATCCAGTTCTTCCGTCCAGGCCACCGCTGGTCCCAGTCACCTCCCACTCCACTGAGCATGGACTCCTCCTCCTCTTCATATTCTGCTGTGTAATCTTCCTCCTCTTCCTCCTCCTCCTCTTCCTCCTCCCTGTCCCCGACATCCAGGTTGTCATCCTCTTCCTCATCCTCCTCCTCCTCAGTGGGGTCAGTGTATTCCCAGAAGAGGGGCCAGAAGAGGTCCTTGTGGGACAACCACTCAGAGGACGTGAGGGACCAGTCATTGCTTGTCTCCTTCAACAAGTCCATCTCCATCTCGGCCTGAGGATCATCCACCACTTCGATGGTTACCTGGAGGAAAGATATGAGGCAGGGCAGTGAGCCGGGGCACAGCCCTGGGACAGACCTACCAGCCCATTCACCTGTTCCCAGACCGAGAGGCCAGAGATGCTCTGGCTACAGGACCATGTGATGAGCACAAGAGGCCTCGCCTTATCCGGAGGGACTGAGCAGGAGCAGACAGGAGGTGCAGGGGGGCTGGTGGTCACCCACAGGCACCAACACCACCCACGGAAATTGAGAGGTCACCCCTGTAGGAGTGTTTGCTCCTGCTCTGCGGCGAAGGGCTGACAGGGGGAAGGGTAAGGCCATGAGTAAATTCCTCCGGCAAGGAGCTTGTCTGCGCCAGCTCTTTGCATCTGGTAGTTACCAAGAAGACAGATGGCAGCAGCCACACAGATCCCGCTCATGAGATCTTTCCTCTTAGAGAACCGAACGAGGCTGTGGAGCACACGCAGCGCTCACCCGCATCCCCCCTGCGGCCCACCCAGACCTGCTCCCCACCTGGATGTTGGGGTTCTGGGCGCTCAGGTCCACGTTGGCCAGCCCCGGCAAGCTCTGCAGGTCCAGCACGAAGGGCAGGCTCTCCTCCCGGGCAGCGTCACTGGGCTGGGGCACTGCTGGGCTCCGGGCAGGCTGCTGAGCCACGC